TATAGGACTGTTTATTGAGATTTATCGTTTGTACTAATGTCTGTCATCGTCGTAATCTCGGACTTTGAGCTGAGTGAGTAATACTTTGGTATTTATCTCTTAACCTTTTTTTTTTATAATACTTATATGACAATCGACGACCCACTTTTTCAGACTTCTGTACCCCAATGTCAGACTTACTATACGTAAGAGTGATATGCCATACACGTGTTTCCATACACTCACCGAGATATGAAAGGAGCAGGCGTCGGTCGGTCGAGGTGAGGAGTGGTTCTTAAGAACTGCGACTTCTTGTGTCGTTTGTCTTGAACATGAGTCATGAAGTCTTACATGACTGTTGTATATACATCGGTACATCGGACAAAACCACGCACTCACTGTGAATCAGTGGTGTTACATAAGACAGTACTTCCGTCACTGAATTCAGAGTTTCTCGGGATTCGCCGGGGATGGACGTATTGACAGGCATTAACTTGAATTTTCTATACGTCTACAACTCGTTAATTTTGGTTAGGTTAGTACTTTAGACAGTCGGTCCTCTCTATTAGTATTAGTTTAGGAAAACAGAATTCACGACTCCTGCCGTTTTGTTTCCACACGTATTATTTGGAGTGTTCTCAGTTCCTGCTTCGAGAGTCTATACTACCGTACTGAGTGTCGGCCCTAGTATCTTCTTGAAGATCGTCCAGTCATTTTGACAAACTGTCCTCTTATTACCATCGTCTCTTATATTTCCTCTGGAAACTACTTAATGGTTAACAGTAAAATAAGTGTTATATCATACAAAGAAGTGTATTTGGAAATTTGTATTGGAAATTTGTATGGTGTATACGTAAGGAGAGTGATGTACTTTATTCGAGTCCTTGGAGTTTTCACCGGGTCACTTACTACCTCCTCTGTTTCGTCCAGGAGTTTTCCCCTGTCTCCCCTTTGTGTTGAGGAACCGAGACGCTGGGATATGATCCACCAGTGGACTTTCTCTGTACCTTTGTAATCAATTCAGAGAGTAGTCACCGTGTTTAGTTCCATACTTAAGTATATTTGTAATATTCTGTGTACTGTATGAGCTTGTTAGTATCTGAAGAGTTTTGGGTCAACCACTTCACCATTCCCTCGCTTAGGAACGTTTTACCTGCCCTCCCCCTTGTTGAGGCAGTTCGAGAGTGTACCAGTTCCACCAGTTAGGGTAGATGGTCTCTAATTCATACTAAAGTATTTTTATTTTTTACTATTTGAGTGGTATGATCTCCTCCCTGAGTTGTCGGTTTGAAAACAACATCACTTGCCATCTCCGCGGCAGGCTCTCTCACCTACCGTCTCTCTCTCGTTCCAGGACAGCTTGTACCTGCCCTCCCCCTTGTTGAGGAGTTCCGAGCAGTGTACAGTTCACCAGTTGGACTCCCCTTAACCATGTAAAATAATTCCAGCACTTTTAATTTATTTTACAAAAGGAGACATGCCGTGGATCTCAAACCTTTGTGAAAAGACCCTACACGCAAAGAAAGTTGTTGAACAAAAATTTTAATACTTCAGTACTGTAATATGTTTGTAATTTTGTTATGTACTATCTCTGATGTTTACAGATTGTCACCAAGGGGGGGTTTACTCTCTTGTTAGTGTATAAATTTTGCTACCATACTTGTTCGCTGAGGCAGTTTATATAGTTCTTGTTGGCACCCATGTACCTCTAATTAACTATTAAATCACATGTACTAGTGGGTATTCCTAGTTGTGTATTACGTGTTATGTTGAAGACTTTTCCGTAGCCTAATTTTACTGTTTATTACTGGGAATGATAGTAGTACTTTACACACTACACCACTATTATTGTTATTATAATTTACTAAAGAGCCGCGAATAGTCACTCGTCGAAAAATTCGTCGAGTGAGAAGAGACCGTTCAGACAGATGTGTCTTCAGGGTCGTCGAGGTTCCTGTACTCCCTGAGCGAGGAAGAGCACACGGTAGGTTGTATTTGTACGGAGTTAAATAGTCTACCTCTCCCACGAAGACTCCAGACAAACAATTATTTTGAAAGTTTCAACTTTCCACACGCGAGTGTTCGGTGGACCACTCCCTATTACATTCGTCATAAATATTCGCTCCCGGATCGTAATTATTGTCCGAGTCTGGTTTTAACTAATACTGGGCTTACACCAAAAGATTTTCACAGTCACAGACTAAAAACTGAAAGGGTAGCATAAGGGTTCACCCGTTAGTCTCGTCCCACCCCTAGTCATGACATAACTTCTGTTGTGATTTGACACTATAATGAATAAAGATTGATTGATATAGCTGTCAATTTTAGTCATTGAGTTCATAGTTAAGTGCTTTATTTGTTAACTGCTATCAAGGAATATGACTCTGCTTTGTAGTATGCATGAGAGAAGATGCCGCAAGTTTAGTGGACTTCTATGTAGTGTCCGCTGAAAATGTAGTGGGCTGGTCTGGACAGAAAATGCCAGGGCTGAATTTTTGTCCCAGTCCACCCCTGTTTGAGGGCGTATGTTTTTTTTGGGGGGGGAGTAGAGGCTGTGGCCGTAACAAGCCCCTCCAAATGTCTGTGCATGTCCCTGCTGCTGCTCATATCGCGGTGTGTTCGGAAGTCTGCAGACTCTCTGGAGCTTTAGCTGAGGTCAAGTGAAAACATCCACCTGCAGTACATCCATCTGACCACCAGGCGAGGTATAGGACTGGGGCGGCTGTGGCTCAGTGGAAAGAGTGCTGGACTTCGAATCAGGGTGCAGCAAGTTCAAGTACCACTGCAGTCAGCATGTCGTTGTGTCCCTGGGCAAGACACTTCACCCTAAATTGCTCTTGTGGGGGGTGTCCACAGTACTGAATGTATGTAAGTCGCTTTGGATAAAAGCGTCTAACAAATGACATGTAATGTTTATGACTTAAGTATGGCCATGTGAAATCTGAAATTTGTTGTGTGTTTTATCATTCAAGCCCATTTTTTCATCCCAAATCCTCATACATTTAAACGAAACTAAACTGTAATGCATTGGTGTTAAATTGATTGCAAGATAGAGAAGAAACGTGCCAGTAAAAGACACTTAAAGATGAGCATTGTTTTTTTACTGTCCATTCGGTTTATGTGCTTTAAAGGGGCCCTTTCGTGCATATTTTCAGGTCCGTATTTGTATTTTGTGTCTCTACTGTGACATGTCTCCGTGCTTTGATGTTCAAAAAGCTCTTAATTTGTCTGTGCTGCAGCACCTCGTTTCAACCTCTGTCTGAAACCAGAGCCCAGTCTGCTCTGATTGGTTAGCTGGCCGGTTCTGTTGTGATTGGTCAACCGCTTAGAGATGTTGCGCCTATTAGCCTATCACGTACAATGTGTTAGAGAGCTAGCCAATAGAAGCATGAGTGTTACATAGTGATGTCACTATTATGACTGAAGTAAACCAAATAGTCAAAAACCTATAACACACTACAGGGAAGGGAACAGCCCAACAAGAATAATATGACCCCTTTTAAAATGGTAGAGAAAACCTTGACTTTTATAACTTGAATACTTATTTTTGGCAAATTCCACAATATTTTTAGTTTTCAACCATTTAAATCGGATTTATAAACACTACTGTCTTTCTCACTTTCCTCTCAGTACTTAGTACTAAAAACAGATTGTCTAAATCCCCAAAAAGATATATCCCTTGCTGTTGTGTTTAAAGATTATAGAACTACAAAATAATTAAGTTCAGGATTACCGGACAGTATCGTTTTTACCTTATAATCTGCCTAAATCTGCTCTCAGCAGTTCAATTTGTCCCATCTAACAGGCATAAATGGGTCAGTCTAAATAATGTTTCACAGTGTCATTCCACAGGCTCAGCATGAAAACATTAGTCATCACATATACATAAAACAAGATGAAAGCCAGGACAGCAGCTGTTTACAACCAGCATATTCCCAGAAAGGCTGTCCTTAATAAAATGTATCTTTCCATATGTGCTGTGAAATACTTTGAGGAAAATCCCAGCTGCTGACTCATCGAACCAACCTCACAATCACTTACATTAACCATCTGTTACTGGAATAATTCAGGCTTGAATGCCAATCTATCACACTAACTAATGATACAGTGCTTCCTCCATACATAGGTAAGAGTTTTTCAAGTATGTCAAAAAAAATCAACAATAATCAGTCAACCCATTTATAGACTATGCCTGGCCTTAAAACATGTTTCTATTGAAACCGTTTCAACCCAAAGGCCATTGAAGAAGATGCAAAAGATGGTTACAGATAAGCACTTACACAAGGCAAAACTGTATAAAACTTGTTGTGCTTTTAGCATGCAACAGTGGGAACCATTCATGTGTTTATTGGAATGAAGCTCTACATCAAAGAACATGAAGAAACATCAGGAGATTCTTATACAATATTTGTCTTATTGGAGAAATTCACCAGACTTATATTTTACAACTACTACAACTTTGCTTCTCACTGAACAGCTTCTCTCCCCCTTTAAAAAAATATATAATAATAATACTAATACACTATTTTAAATGCAGTAGGCTACTTCCTAATACTGGGATAGAGTGCCATAATTATAGATAATTTCTTTGGGAGAGCAAACAAAAAAATGCATTAAAAAAGCCTCAGTCTTATTTATTTGATTTTTTAATGGTCCTACTTTAGCTTTGTTTCTAAAGTTTTTTATCACCTTGTTAATGTAGGACTTTACGGTTAAAATTGTCTTTAAAAGTGAAATCAGATAAAGGGACAGCATACTGGAAAAGGTTTGCGTGGTGTGATATCTCTTCATGCTTCTAGCTGTTGACATTTACAGAGTGAACCCACTCCCACACATCCTGAACACGTGTTTTCTACCCATAGTGACTGCAGAGAGCTGGATACAGCTGTTAACCTGTAATACAGGAGTGTCACCATGACGGGGGGGGGGGGCTAACATCAGTTATCTATCTGTGAGTCTGCCTTCTAACCTCAACAAAGCAGCTTTAGGAAAGCAATCTGTGAATAATGTTCCTGTTTCAAAATCATAACATCTATTATAAAGATGTCTGCAGTGCAGGTCCAAATTGTTCCAGATCCCATACAGTCGTGATATTATCTGTGGTCGGCTCTGTGACAGACGTCATGTGTTACCTTGGCTACTTATTGGCTTGTGATGGATTTAATGGAGCAACAAGCTAAAGAGCAGGTGCCAGAGTAAACAGGGATTAGTGTTGTTATGTTAACTGAAGGTAAACCGGATTAAGAATATTAATTCTTGCAAATGTTTTATAGTTTTATCATTCTGAAGGTTAAGTTTGTGGAGAAGGCTTTCATTATAATTAATTAATTAAAATAGAAGTCTTACATATTCCATCTCAGCATGTCTCTGATATTTTCTTGGTGCTGCTGCCTCGGTCACGGCGTCAGCAAGGATGCTGTTTGTGTGTTCTAATATGGAAATAGATTTTTTTTTGTCTGCCCACTCAAAGTGCCTCAAAGTAATCAGCATTGCATAATCACAGGAAATACCTTATCTGCATCCACTCTCTGTCCTCCAGGCTCAAACAAGTCTCCTCCAAACTCCAAGCTCCTCTTCCAGAAAATCCAATATTCCAGGCCTTGATGCCAGCTTTGTTTCTTTTAATATTCTCTGTATAAAGAATTGATATAATCTTCTGTTGTGCTGCATGCATTCTTATGTCTTGTGCAATCAAATCTGTCATTTCAAGACACATTGCATCTGTGCTTTCACACATGCCAATTTTGTTTCCATCACAGAAGTCAGTGTTGTCTGCTCTGATGGATGATAATGCACACGCTGCACGTTGATCTGTTATATAACTGAGTGCACATTACCTTTGATGGTGCGTTCCCTCGAGATGCAGTCTAACAGTGTTCTCTGAAAAGATGCCAGCTAGAGAGATCTCCCTTCCCACTGCGAGTCAAGTACAGACACTTTGAAAACATTGCAGGGAAAACATTAGAAATCTCCACATTTCAGGCAGCTCTATCCAAAACCATAGACAGATTATCAGGGTGATATTTATGCTTTATTAATGCAAATCTCCATCTGAGCATGATGAAGAGGATCATCTAAGCATGTTCCCTCTGCTCTCCTAATGGTAAAAAAAAACAATGATGAAATACAACATATGCACTCAATAGGTTAAACCCTATGGACTGGTGCCAGTGGTGCATTCACTTGCTCCTCGGATGGTCCTATTTGCTAAATTACCGGGTAAATAATGAATTAATAAAATATTTTAAATAGGATTATTCATGACTCCATTGTGGTGTTCAAGCTGAAAACACTTCTCATTATTTGTACTCCTCCTGACACAAGCTGAACTGTGAGACATCATGACCCTGCAGAAATATGTGTCTCCTCTCCCAATGGCACTTTGAAAGTCAGCCTCAAATGAATTTTGTCATGTGGTTTTAAACAAGTAAGGCCCTACAAAGCTTCCCTACAGATTTTCTGGAAATTGAGGTAAGGTATCGGACATTTGTTAGCTTTAATAGGAGGTTACTTTTTCGGTTTCATTGGCTGGTTGGAGTGGATCCAAATCACAGGGGGTAATACTGTACATGCGTTATTTTTCAGTTATGGGTACACTAGTGGCAGTTCTAGACCAATTTAACTTTGTTTAAGGCTACAGCTGTCACGGTTTGTGAAACAAGCAGGACCCAAATGCAGATACAAACTGAAAATTCCTTTATTTCAAGGCTATGATATTTCTATGCAATGACAAACAGAACACTCACCGCAGAACTAGTCAGGGAACAAGACGAACCGACCAAGACAGACAGACAACCCAGAACTTAAATACACACAAGACTCAATCACACAACAAGACACAGGTGAGGAGGGAGGAGAAAACACAGGGGCCCAGGTGAACATAATCAGACCATTAGACACACCAGGGAAACTAATGACAAGAGGAAAACACAGGGAAAGGACCAGACAATAACCCAAAGGAAAACATGACATGGAAAACAGCAAAAACACCCAAACCTACAAAACTATAAACGTGACATAACATGAGAATCGTGACATAACCCCCCCCTCAAGGGACGGATTCCAGACGTCCCAAAAAAACAAAAATCCAGCAGGGTGGGTGGAGGGGGTCTGGAGGACGGGTCTCGGGCGAACCCTAAATTCAAGACCCCAACAGACAGACAGAACCAGCCAGCAGAACTAAGGGACTTCGATCAAGACGCCACCTACAAGACAAACAGTAACGTATCTTGTTAGTACGGAACTTGTATTGTCCTTAAAAGGGGGTCAAAACATAGACGTAAACCCATGGACACGAACAAAGTGTTTGGCACTGCTGCTTGACGCTGGTTCTTTACCCGGGTCGCTAGCGCAAGCTAGCCCTTAATAATTTACAAAAGGAAAAAAAACCGATTGACGGCCCTATCTACCTCCTGCCTGGGCCTCAAGTCGTCGCCTCCCCGACACAACAGCCTCCGGCGCGGTACTACTTCGTATTATTCCTCTCTTTGGGTCATACCCTCTCAAGAAATGGCCGACATAAAGTTTCTAGGAGGGTACACATCACTAAGGGCCGGGACGATCGGGGCCGTACGATCCCCGGGCCAGAGGGTTAAGGGTTCGGGGACCGTGGTATGCGGAGCCAACAAAGGCAGACGTCAGTTCGGGCCACGAGAGGGGTCAAGCCGACGAGGGCACAGGTCCGGGGGGGGGGGGGCGGGGGGGGACCCCGTATAAGACTGAGCAGACCGAATACCTCCAGGGCCCATAAGTCGCCAGACGATTCTCCCTCCTGCCTCAGCGTTCCGGTTCGTCCGTCCGAGTTCGGGGTTCTCGGTACAAGGCGAGGTCTTGCCTGGAATGTCGTACAAAGGCCGGGTCTTGGCCTGGAATGTGTGCGGCTACAAAGGCCGGGGTCTTCGCATGGAATGTCGCGTACAACGGCCGGGTCTTTGGCCTGCGAATTGTCGGTGACGAAAAGGCCCGGTCACGGCCGGGTGTGTCGGGTACAAAGGCGAGGTCTTGACCGGGTGTAGTGGTACAAAGGGCCGAGGTCTTGGCCTGGAATGCTCGGTGACAAAGTCCTAAGGTCTTGGCCTGAACTGTCGGTCTGCCAGGCCGAGGTCATTGGCCTGGATGTCGGTAACCAGGGCGAAGTAACGGCCACGGTCATTGGTACCCATGGGCTGAGGCCACGACGGCAGCAGTGGACGGAACTGAGTAGCCGCCCCCCTGCGCGTCGAGAGCTCAGGACTAGCAGCATCGGCCTCGGGCTCGAAGGTGCGGTGGGAGCAGAGGACAACCGAAGGCAGGCTGCGGTCGAGGGGCCAAGGACGTACCTACAGGCAGGCTGCGCGTCCGAGGGGAACATGAACAGCCGTATGGCCGGCTGAGGTCCGTGGAGCAGAGGACAACGACAAGGCGAGGCTGCCGGTCCGAGGGGCCCAAGACAACCGTTGGGTTGGGTGAGTTCACACGCAACCTCCAGGGCGTCTGACGCGGAAGGCGGCCCCCAGGACGGTTGGGGTACAGGACTCGGGCACTGCAGGGCGTCTGATGAGAAGACGGCCCAGGAGGTTGAGGTACAGGAACAGTGCAACTCCAGCGTCTGATGAGAAGACGGCCCAACCAAGGACGGTTGGGGTACAGGACACGGCAACCTCCCAGGGCGTCTCGACAGAGAGACGGCCCCCCACGGACGGTTGAGGTACAGAACAGCGCCAACCCCTAGGCGTCTGTGAGAGACGCCGCCAGGACGGTTGGGGTACAGGACTCGGCACCTACCAGGGCGTCCTGACGAGAAGACGGCCCCCCACGGATGGTTGGGGTACAGGACACGGCAACCCTCCAGGCGTCTGATGAAAAGACGGCCCAGGACGCGTTCGAGTGTACACGCACGGCCAACCTCCAGGGCGTCTGAATGAGAAGACGGCCCCAGACGGTTGGGGTACAGGACTCGGCAACCTCCAGGGGCGTCTGTACAAAAAATGACGGTCCCGGCAGGGACGGTTGAGGTACCAGCAACGGTGCAACCAAATGCTCAGAGGCGCTGGACGAGAAGACGGCCCAGGATTGGTTGGGGTACGAGGACACGGGCACCTACCAGGCGTCCTGATGAGAGACGGCCCCCGGCGGTTGAGGGCTACAACACAGGGCAACCTAAGGGCGTCTGATCGAGAAGACGGCCCAGGACGGTTGGGTACAGGACTCGGCAACCTGCCAGGGCGTCTGACGAAAAGCGGCCCCCAGGACGGTTATAAAGAACGGTGCAACCTCAGGCGCTGTGCTTGAATGAGGAAGGCGACACAGGACCCGACGGTTGGAGGTTCGAGGTCAGCCGCAACCCCTAAGGCTGGCTGACGAGAGGACCCGGCCCCCAGGACGGCCAGGACACAGGAGAAGGTACCCCCTGAGAATCGGCTGGTGGCCGAGGACTGGCTCTGGAGGGTGTGCCTCGACATGGACCAGAGTGGGGAGGAGCCTGAGACGGAACGGGGGTCCGTGCAGCGTGTGTGGTGTGGCTCTAAAGGGAGGTCAACCTGAGACGGAACGGCGGGGCCCGGCCAAACAGGCGGACGGTTTAAGGGGAAAAACTTGAGACGGAACCGGCGCAGTGCAGGCTGTGAAGCGGGAAAAACTGAGACGGAACG